TGAATTAAAGGGGGGAAAAAACACACCAAATCTTGAAGATGCTGAGGTACCACAACATAAAATTCTGAGAGATTCATCCAGTTATGTGAAAAAGTTCAGTTCTTTATTTCAATGTCTTTATTTCACATTTCAATGTCTAATCTCAAGTTTTACCTCTTTCCACTTGCACAACAAATGTGCGATATTTTACCCATTAAGCAAAATAAAAATCCAATTCCTATCTTAGGACAAGTGAGGTCACGCTGCTTGCTAATAGCTAGTTTTAGCCCTTTTAGCTGAAATAAGACGTTTTTTTGTAGCAGATATCAGTTCAGGAATTCCCCCAGTGTATTATAAGCCTTGTTCCCCCGCCAGACTAAGAGTCAATGGTTTATTTCAAAAAGGGTTTTTGTACACCAGTGACAGTAAAGATGGATTAAGTAGGTTTATAGTTGACACATTGAACTGGGCAGTGCGTACCAGTCTCCACCTGATATCGGCCTCACACATCTGCTTGTGAACGTCTGAATTTTTGTAACTTAACATTTTTTTAAGCCTTAGCGCCCCCTACCACCGGGTCTAGAAGGTTTTCTGGGGGAAAGCCAGTAGTCTGAAGAAATTTACCCTGCTCCCCACTTTGAGCTGTGAAATCTTTCAGGGTTTTCCCATCGCCCCCTTTCTGACACCAAAACCTGAGCTTCGTCTTTCATACAGCACGATGCAACTCAGGTGTTTTAGAAACACAGCAACATTTGGGTTCAGTTCTTATTCTCACCTCAGTATGTTAACAAATGAACCAAAAACAAACAGGACGATCCATCAAAAAGTGCCAAAAAAAAAAAAAATCGTCAGTGAGATCCAGCTCCTGTTTTCTCCTGATTCTGAACGAGTAATGTTCGGAGCAGCAGAGGAGATTAGATGGGGATTACCAGCATAAATCACATTGTTGTGTTCTATACCACAATGTGATTATGGGGAAATTATTTTGGGACTGAACATTTTCTACTTTGCAGCGTGGCTAAGAATTCCTATGGCGTTCGTGTTGAAGCCAGAGGAAAGAGTCGTCTTACGTGGACAGTTGCTCAGGGTGTACCACTCCATGCACTGGCCGAACGGGAAGGACGCCACGTAGGCGTTGGAGTCCACGCACTGCTTCATGTTGCTGCACCACATGCACTCCGAGGTGCCGCTGGTGCACTCGCTGCAGGTGGTCCTCATGGCACAGGGAGTCTTGCACTGCTTGGCGCTGTGGTTCGCTAAGAGGAGAAAGCATGAAGAGACGGGTTAAGAGCCGATTCGCCTCTGGAAAAGAGGAGCAGGAGACTGAATGAGGATTTGTTTTTTCACCCTTAATACAATATTAATTTATCTTAGTAGGATTTTATGTATCTTACTTGTGGAAAGTATTGTTATTATTCCATTTCTATGCCATACGTTAGAAAATTCTTGGCTGTATTTTTTGACAAAGGCAAAAGTTCTTGCACTGTAAATATAAAGAAATAAATATATAGATGTTGCAATAAGCAACCAACTAATTCATCGCAAGATAAATTAAAACAAGCAATTTTAAAACTAAAGTATTTTTCTGGTGTCTTAAAATGTCTTCCAGTTTCAATGTTAAATGCTCATTAGAATTTACAGCTTATTGATCTTTGAGAATGTGTTCCTGCATTATTCCACCATTACCATCGTATTAATTCAAAACCGTCTTAAAACAATGCTATTATTGTTTATCGCAATAACTTCCAAGACAATTTATTATTCAGCAAAAACTATGTAACTGTGATCTTATCTACCATTGCAAAAGTCCGAAAATCAGCTACTGTCCATTTCGGGAGGGGAAAAAAAAAAAAAAAAGGACATTGGCCAAAATCGGAATCAGTAGATCAGGCTTGTTAAAGATCAGTGGTCAGACAGAAAGCTGAAATCAGTGCACTCTTAATATATAGAAACACATTTAATGGTCGGACAGTCCGCCTTGGCTTTGCATTAACGTCGACAGCTTACCGGGTCGCTCACACAGGCTGCCGTTCACTGGGTTGATGCAGGACTGCGCTTTCAGCCCGCTGGAGGCCGGTTCGGCCAGGTAGCCGCAGAACCCGGCGTCGCTCGGCTCGCCAGGCAGCCACTGCAGGGTGGTGTTGGTGAAGGGCGACATGTCCTCCCAGCACCAGTAGGACACATTGATTTTCCTCAGCCCCACCCAGGGAGTCATTGTTGTCTTGTACTGATGAATCAAGTGGAAAGATTCGATTATACGTCCAGTTTGGGCATGTTCTGTTCATTTGATTCCATAAACAAAAAAACTATAGTTGTTATAATGGTGGCACCTTCCCACCAATTAGATTAACGTGAAGATTGGGGGAAAACAAACAAAAAAAAAAAAAAAAACACTATTTGACAAGTATCGTCTTTTTGTTTCAGAAAACAGCTGCACCCTGACTGAAGAAGGAGAGGGGAGAGGAAAAACGACAGAGCAGTCATTTATCTGGAATAAGGCAGGTTTATTTCACCTGACTTGAAGGGCTCTCCAACTTAAACCCATGTCTAGTCTGCAGATATGCTGCCATGTCAAAGAAAGAGCGCAGGCTTTCTGGGAGAGACAAATTACAGTAGGGCTGACATGTAATTCCAGAGTTCGGATTGATTGATGCTGGCAGAAAAATCCTTGGAAAAGCCGACGTCAACATCACATAAGAGGACATCTTAACCGCCTTTGTGCACGCTTGGAGCTAAAAAATAATAATAATGGTAACAACCAAAAATGCACACTGCATGGGCTTTGTGCTCTTTTCTCGTTTCTTATAAATCCTTTACTATCCTCTCAAAAAGTTTTAACTAACTCAGAAATAAACTCCCAGTTCAGAGACTGGTATTGTAATTACTTGATTCCCCTCAAATGTTCACATTTTGTTGTGTCATGACAACAAATAGAAATGCAAGTGACTGAAATTTTATGAGACTTTTTTCATCCCAAAAAAAAAAAAAGGTGTGGCGTAGTTTTATATTCAGCCTCCTTTATTCTGATACCCACTAACAAAGCCCAGCGCAACTTCAGTCTTCAGACATTTGATGAGTAAATGTGAGTTTATATGTGTTTAACTGAATCCAATCTGACAGTTTGAGAGATTTTACAAAAAAGAAAAACCAATGGACTTCAAACTTTTTCAGATTACAATTTAGAAAAGTGTTTGAAAGACATTTTTTTTCCCCAGTTTCTACAACTTCACTTTTAGGAATTATCTGGTGTTGATTCATCAGAAAACCCTGATAAAATAAATAAAAGCTTTCTTTCTGTAGCAAACAAATATGAAAAAAGTTCAAGCAGGTTTAAATAAAAAAAAAAAAAAGCAGAGTAGTTTATAAGCTAAACAATGAAAAAAAAAGCATTTTTCCCCACTGACAAAGAAGCCAACGCAGCCTGTAAGTGATTAGTGGGTTGCTGGGATAGATTTCTGGGTTTTCACTCTAATAGATCGAGCAAATGAAACGTGTCTGAGCTCTGGAGGGAAAGATCTGTTCATTTGAAACTTATTTCATGCTTATTGGTCCAACAACTTGACAAAAAAAAAAAAAAAAAAAAAAAAAAAACAAAAAAGACCCAGGGGAAAAAAAAAAAAAAAAAACCTTAAAGGAAATTT